TTTACAAAATGGAACATTTAAAAGGAGTTCCCAAATACTAGCTTTCAGGGGGCGCGTGCGCTCTCCGACGATGTTAGCTGAACTAACGTGTCGCTGATTTGGCACGATGATGGGAAGCGGCCGTGCGCACTCGTTAATCATTTTTCGGAGTTCACACCGCTGCGGCCAAAGGATGCGCGCACGGCCGCTGAATTAAGTTTAAGCGGCGGCTTAAACATCGTCCCCGCCCTGCAGGAATGCGTTGCTGAGCCTCTCCTGCAGCTCTTTCAGGGCGCGGATCGTGTTGCCAAGGACGCGGCGGGTAGTGCGGCCCTGGAAATTGGACGTTTGAAAGCCTTGGGGAGTGCGCGCGATCGTCCGTTGGGCGGTCTTCTTGCGCGGCGGTTGCGGCGCCTGGTTGCGCGGGTTCTTCTGCGCCTTCTTCAGCGCCTTTTTCTTCGGCGGTGCGCGCCGCTTGACGCTCCTTGGGGCCTTTGTGGCCGGTTTTCTCTTCTTGGGCCCCTGTTCCCTTGGCCCCGTGCGCGCATGGGTGTTGGCTGCCACATGCAGCAGCGTGTGGTGCGCTAGCCCGCAGGTCTTGCAACTACCCAGCGAGTCGCATTCCCCGGTAGTGTGGGTGAGCGCAAGGCAGTTGACGCAGTAGCCCTGCGCGCGGGCTACTCCCAACCGTTGTGGCGGCTTCATCGCCTTGAAGGCCGGGCACGTCCGCAAGGCGTGGTACCGGTGGCAGAGCCTACATTGGAGACAATTGTCCGTTTCCGCCAGGGGGCATGCCTTCCGTGCTGCCATGATGTCTTCGATCTGGAAGTAGAAGCAAAGGCAGAGAAACGAGAAGTACTTGGGTACAATATTTAAACGGGAAGTTAAGACCCTTAATATACAAAAGGAAAAGATGTATAGAATTATTTATTGTGCTTTTGGAAGGAAGCACAGTTTGACAAGTGGCCGCGTGATAACTCCATTTTGTGTACGGACTTCCACGACACGTATGAGGTTATCAGGGCTGTGGCGAACGTTTTCGATTCGTCCCAATCGCCACTCGGTGGGGGGAGCGAATCTTCTTTGATCACGACAATGTCGCCTGGCTGAGGATCGCGTTGTGGGGTTTTCCACTTGTATCTCTTCTGAAGATCTTTGAGGTAATCTTCTTTCCAGCGGCGACTTAATTGGTGGTGAAGTGCTTTGACTTTCTCCCACCGGTTTAGTAGAGAGAGGTCTTCCGCATTAGGCTCGGGAATGGCCAATAGCGGTGCACCTCGAAGGAAGTGACCCGGAGTGGGTGCTGTCATATCAGCTGGGTCTTGAGAAAGTGCGGATAGAGGCCTCGAAATGAGGACTGCTTCAATTCGCACCAGAAGCGTCGTGAATTCTTCGAAAGTGAACTTGTGGGTTGCAGCAGTTTTCTTTAAATTGATTTTAAAGCTTTTCCTTGCAGATTCCCACAAGCCGCCCATGTGGGGGGCGCTGGGTGGTATATATTGCCAGTTGATGCCTTGAGGGGCATATTTTTTGACAATGACTGCGGAACATTCGTTAAGAAATTTAACGAAGTCGCGTTCTGTTGCGCGCTGGGCGCCAATGAACGTTTTTCCATTGTCGCTCATCATTTTTGAGGGGAAACCTCGTCAGCCAACGAAGCGGGCGAATGCTGCTTGAAAGGCCTCGGTTGTAAGATCCGAGCATAGATCGAGATGCACTGCCTTTGTGGAAAAACAGACAAAAACTGCAACGTATCCCTTGATAAGGGTTGTAGATCTTAGCACCGATGCTTTAATTTGGAATGGTCCAGCAAAATCTACTCCCGTTGTTGAAAATGGGAGTGAGAAACTGCAGCGCTCAGGGGGTAGAGCGGCCATTATTTGGGTGCGTGTTTGTTGCTTGTAAAGCGTGCACACTTTGCATTGAAAAATGCATTTTTTAATTAGAGGTTTTAGCTTTGGTATGTAGTACTCTTGCCTTACCATTTGGAGCATTAATCGTGTTTCTGCGTGAAGAAGCAGCGAGTGTAAAAACTCCAAATATAGCTGGCAGAACCTCTATTCGGTAGGGAGAATTATTGGGTGCCTTTCATTATAGCTCAATGTGGAATGTGCTAATCGGCCATTAACCCGTAGAAGTCCGTCTTTGTCCAATGAAGGATTGAGAACAAGAAGATGACCTTTTTTGTTAAGTGGCTTTTTATCTTGCAAAGCGCTTTTTTCGCTCGGAAAATGGCGTGATTGCGCTGCGCTTATAAGACGTATCTTTGCATATTGAAATTCGTTATGCGTCAGATGCACGATTGAGAGAATACAAAGGTTGCGCCGATCTCGGACCGCTATTCCTCTCTTAACGAATTTGACAGAATCGTGGTTTGCATGACGTCACACTTGTGCAACTTGTTTACGTTTTCCTTGCAACATTTTTTCTTCTTCTTCCATTCTTGCTCACGTTTTGGCATTTCTCTCTCGCAATTGCACCAGTGTGACGTCACACAAAAGTTATTCTCAAAAATCCTCTCTGATCGGCGCAATCTTGTATTCTATCATTCTTGCGTCAGATGTGGATTAGTGATTGTAGCTAACCCCTTTGATTTGTTGCGTGCATTGCTCACGAAGCGGAACATGTACGCAGTCACGTGAAGTGCTCGAGAGAAGGAAGAAAAGCGATCAAGAAAATCGACCTCTTCTTCGAGCGCGTGATATACCTCCACCTTGCGCTTTTCTGGTGGAGATGCACTGCACGCCTTTGACCTTGGCCATGCATCCATGTGGCAAGGGAGCCATTTTGGTCCGTGCCACCAGAGTGGGGAATTCGCCAAATCCTGCGGTTTGCACCCGCAGGTGCCGAGGTCGGCTGGATTATCTTGGCTGGCAACATGGCGCCATGTACCGGTTGGAAAATATTCCCGGATTTGGGAGGTACGAGTGGATACATACGTCTTCCATGTACATGGTGGCTTTTCAAGCCAAGCTAGCACAATCTCTGAATCTGACCAAAAGAATGTGTTGCACGATTCCAATTTGAGCTGTTTTCGAACAGTTTCGACCAGTTTTGCGAGTAAGACTGCACCACACAGCTCCAGGCGTGGCAAGCTTACCGTCTTCAATGGTGCGACTTTGCTTTTTGCAACCAAGAGAGTGGAATATCTTTGGTTGCTAGCATCTACGCGGATGTAAATCGCAGCGCAATATGCTTTTTCCGAGGCATCGCAAAACCCGTGGATTTGGCTGTCTTGCCCCGGAGTGAAGTTAACCCATCGAGGGATTTCGATGTAGCATATGGCTGGCAAATTTTCTGCGAACTGTTGCCATTTTGCCAAAGCTATGGGTTTGGCACATTCGTCCCAATCAACGCCATCCAGCCAAAGTTCTTGAAGCAGAATCTTTGCTTGAATCATCACTGGCGACAGCCATCCTGCCGGGTCAAAAAGTTTTGCGACAGAAGATAAAATTTGTCGCTTTGTGACGGCATTCGATGTCGATGCAGGCAGAATGGTGTATGAAAATTTATCTGTGAGTGCGTTCCATTGTATACCAAGAGTTTTGGTTGGCGAAGCGCTCTCAAATTTCAAAAAGTTGGAGTCGAGAAGATCCTCCTTTGGAAATTTTTCTAAAATGGCCAGATGATTGGCCGTTAGTTTCTTGAGTATGAAACCAGCTGACTTAAGCGCTTTGATCACTTGAAGAAGTGATTCAGTGGCGTTGTCAATATCATGACTTCCGGATAGGATGTCATCCACATACGTTTCGGTTTTAAGTATTGTGGCAGCCAAGGGAAATGTCGCTATCGTATCATCTGCTAATTTATGCAGGGCACGGATAGCGAGATATGGTGCACAATTAACGCCGAACGTTACGGTTTTAAGATTATAATCGGTGACAGGAGAGTCAGCCCACGTGCGAAACAAGATTCGCTGAAAATCTTTATCGTCCTCATGGACGAGTATTTGACGATACATTTTTTCAATGTCGCCATTGAACACGAATCTGTGCATTCGCCACTGCAAAATGAGCAGCATGAGATCTGGCTGGAGTGTGGGACCAGTGTGCAACACGTCATTCAGGGATTTTCCTGAACCAGATGTTTTTGCGGCTCGAAGGAAGGACCATGATTAACTCAGTGTGAGGGCAGGGCTAGGATGAATTTATTTGCATAAAAATGGATTAAAGCAAAAATGTTTTGGGTAGGCGTCGGAGCCAATGATAACCATCAGTTACCACCTCTGCATGGTTGTAAGTCATGCAGCGTCCCTACGGCTTGTAGCGCTGTGGCTTTGCCGCTTAAACTCTGTAAGAGTTTTTGGGGGTGTGCGTCAACCCGAGTGTTGAGCACCGGTTAGTTTTTTAAGTTCAAAAATTGGGTAGGCGCTGTGGCCAATGGTAGCTCTTGTACCACCTCTGTATGCCGAAGGCAATACAGAGCCCCGTGAGACAACCGCGAGAGAGTTGTGATGCATCAAGCAAGTTTGTTGAGCATGAATTGGGGTGCCAGCAATTAACTACTTTAGTAGGTTTTGTTCTGCGGCAGTTGAGAAGTGCATAAAAAAATTCATACCCAATGAAGAACGAGCGAATTATTTTTAAACACAAGTGCGTGTGTTTATTCGCTGTACTTGGTTTTGGGCGGGAGTGCAATACAAGTGCGCGTGTGTGTTCGCTGTTCTTTGTTTATGCGGGAAATGCATAAGTCGCTTAAACATCCTGGCTCCCCTATACGACTTGTCGTCTAGTGGATGTAAAATAAGCCGCGAGTATCCGGCTCGAAGGACCATGAATAATTCGCTCGCTTGGTCCCTTCGCACTCACCTCACTACACTTTAATTTACGTTTGAAGGAAAATACTTCAGTTTTAAACTTTAAATTTACAAAGTTCACCTCAGTTTATTCATGAGCTTTTTTTAACAATTAAAGATTATGTTTTCACTTATAGAATTTACAAAATGGAACATTTAAAAGGAGTTCCCAAATACTAGCTTTCATGGGGCGCGTGCGCGTAGTCCGACGATGTTAGCTGAACTAACGTGTCGCTGATTTGGCACGATGATGGGAAGCGGCCGTGCGCGCTCGTTAATCATTTTTCGGAGTTCACACCGCTGCGGCCAAAGGATGCGCGCACGGCCGCTGAATTAAGTTTAAGCGGCGGCTTAAACAATAGGCTCAGTTAAAAAAAAAAACATTATCATATTTAAAGTACATCCATCTTTTGTATTCATGTTTTAAATAAAATTAATAAAAAAAACTGCAAATGAATGATGTAACTTTTTTTAGGTACAATCTGTCTCATTTAGCGAGCGACGCATGCCGTTTAACCGCCGCAACTATTTTTAAAATTGAATTGCGTTAGGATTGTTATCTACTTATATATTGTATCTTTTGCCTTTGAATTATCTAACGTGTATCTACGTACATATTGCATCTTTTGCCTTTGAATTGCCTAACTTGAAAAAACATTGTAATTAGTGAATACCATGAATTGTAAAATTTTAAGTATTTTATGAATTTGCGTGGTTGGCAACGCGCGTAGGTAAAGCAGCGCGCAGCTGACATTTAAGGTTGACAAAATGTCAACAAAAAAAAAAGTAGATACACACACAAATTTTTCTGCAACACAATCGAGCAGTCACAAAACCTTATAAAGTTGTAATCCTTTTATTGAAATTATTCTCGTTTGATATATATACTCGCAGTACTACTTTTAATTAA